TGTATGGAAAAAACCCTCCATAGTCCAGGGAGAAAGGGCCTCCCACTAATATCAGCCTTAAGTCACACAGCCTATAATATGTCATCACCTCTAGGGCTTTATAGCAGGTCCTTCTGCACAGATAGTTAAGGCTAGAGGCTTATGGTCACTGTATAAACAGTGGCTGGCATATCTAAACTCATCCCAAGTTTAACAATGCACATTTCCAATTGGACATGGGCTCCCACTTACTCCTTGAACTAGACCGCTTCACTCAGGAAAATTACGTGCCTGGCTGCTACAAACACTTAATTGGCCACGCCTGGCAAAGGTAGGTCCTTCTAGTTCTATATCCACAGTGAGTCAAGGGTTTGATAAGATAAAAAGCTTCTCTCAAGGTCCTTTTTGGCTCCAATAAGAGACATTATATAAATAAAAGCCAAGTAACATTTTAACAGTGGTCTTCCTCACAAATAGATAAGGTTGAGTTTCTGTGAGATCTTGTCTGTACAAAGGCAAGGAATGAAACAAATAACCTTGTATGATTTCATCTCCATAACTCCAGGCAAAGTAGAAACCAAAGAAAGGCAGAATTTTTTTAAAAACTCAAGAAAAAAATGAGTACCTAGCTCCTGATGGCATCTGAGCAGGCTCATTAAGTTTGGACCAAACTCAAGGTTTTTCACACATGCCTCACCTCCCATCAATAACTGTCATGTGTTCTGTACACAATTTACCTTCAAATAGGCTGCAAAGTCTCCCCAGGCCATGGCCCATAATAAAAATAAAGGTTGCTTTTGTGCACGGTGACAAAAGAAAGGAGTCTGAATGATTTGAAGTTGAGGCCAAGCAGGGAAAAGGAAGCCTACAACAAGGATGGGATTTGCTACTTAGAGACAGAATCACATCCCAGCAAGCTGTTCCCAGCTCCTAGGAGGAAAACCAACCCAGGAAACCAGATAAAGTTATTAACAGATTAGATATAGAGGCTAATATTCAGGAAGTTCTAATTCATTAAACCTGACCAACTACGGGGATGGTACATCAACTCCTGCTTTTGAAAAGTGACATCCCCAGTACATAAAGAAAAGAAGGTGAGAACACATACACAAACACACAGATGAAAAAATGAAATTCTAAACAATGAGGGAGGCAGATTTGACTTTGTAAAAGATAATATACCTGGCAATTTCTTGTGTGTAAAACAAAATATTATTATAATTCCCATTTATGTATATCTGACATCATATATTACAATGCATTTATCCAATACCCAGTTATCCCCATTTTACAAGGAAGAAAACTGTTTTGAAAGTACATAAGATGCTACTCAGGGTTGTATCCAATGACAAAACTGAACCAAGAACTTGGGTTTCTCAGATTTTGCATTTAGCTTTAACAAGACTAACAACAGGTAGGGCTAATGTAGATAGGACCACACGAACAAGTCTTGATCATCCATCCCAGAGCTTGAATGTTCACACAGAAATGAAATGCTCAGGGCTGGGATGTGTGGCTCAGTGGAAGAGCTCTTGCCTTGCATGCACAAGGCACTGGGTCTGAATCCCAGGACCACACACACAAAATAAGAAGTTTTCAGACAGGAAATAGAATCAGTCACCAACCTGACCCAACATTTTTTAAAATATGCAGTTGGTATGGAGTCAGGGTTAAATCTTTTCCTTCTTATTATATTTGCCTGCTGTTTGGCAAATAACCTAGGGATGACATTTCCAACATGCTACTAAATCTCATCTCAGGGTGAGTCTGGATAAATAAAGCAACTATCTTACAATGTAAAGGTACAACATTCCAGAAAAACACCTATTCACCTACCAACTTTATAAGCACTAATTTACTGTGACGCATTTTTATGTCCTACGTAGACATTCTATAGCTTGAACAGATTCTACAGTGCCTCACAGATAAAGGAGAAAATAAAACCCTGTGATCACATGGTGAATAAGTGTTAGAATCATGATTAAAATTCAGGTTTGCCATTTCTTAATACAGGTAGCACTGTTTCCCTAATAATTCTTTTCTCCAACTAAAGACAATGTAGAAGAATAGAGATAATATTTCTTTTTTTAAAATCTACAAAAAAAGCTTCCATAACTTCTATCATGCAATACCTTGGCTATTACAGAGTCTTATTATCAATGTAAACATAAATACTTATTCATGAAAATTGAAAGATCTGCCCTGAAGTTAATATTCAGATCATTCATTCAACAACATATCATTTTTTCTACCAGTGAAACCACAAAAACTGGCCCCTAAGTTTGCTTGATGCTCTCCTTTAGTGATCCAAAAATAATTTAAAACAAACAAAAAGGTTCATAATGATCAAATAAATACTCCAAATATAGTATAAGACATGGAATATTATCTTACTTTTTCAAGTAATAAACACTCCAAAGTAGAAAGAATATGGAAACTCTGAGTTATGATTTAGGTGTTACTATTCCTGCCCAAGGTTTATGATCACAGTATTTACTGTAAACTTAGATTTCTGCTGTTGATACAGTAGCAACTAGGTACAGGAGGCTACTGAGCACCTGAAACATTGCTACTGTGAACTGAGATACTACACACCAAATTTCAAAAATGGAATCAATATTAATGATTTTATGTTTTATAATATCAATACATGATGCTATAAAATACTTTGGATATACTTGTAATTTTTACTTTTAAATATGATCACTAGAAAAATTTAAATAGCATCTGTGACTCTCATTATATGTTCTATTGTCTGACCAAAAAATCAGTATCTCTTAATCCTGGCTGTACAGTAAAATCTTCTATGAACTAGGTTAGAAAATTTCTGGGTCCTATCTTTAAAGATTCTTATCAAATTAGCCTGGATTCTAGGTTTTAGCCATTTTTATGTATCATCTTTCATCAACATTCTTTTTGTTTAGATTTTTTAAAAAATTGCTATCCAACCTATTTACTTTGTTATACAGCTAGAGCTGAGAACCACTTGTCAAGATTCTATACCAAGTGGCTGCTAGGGTTGTGTTCCCGGAGGAGCATTCCTCTTGGCTTTGGACTTAGGAACATCAATAAATGTTTGTTTATATATATTCTGAAGGCTGATTCGATAATTTTCCTCCCTAAACCATTCTGGCTTATTCAGTCACCCTCCTCCATCTCCTAATTTACTGTATATTACAAAAGTGACATTCTCCTGGAAGTAAAACGCATTCCAATTTGGGTGTGATTTAATCTTCCTTTAAGGAGATAGGGGCCTATCAACACAAGAGGTATAAGCTGTGTGTGTACAGAACCTTACACTAGTCCTGAAGGCTCATAGTCATTGAATTGCTCTTTCTGACTATCCTTAGGTCTGATTCATCAACTGGTAAAGCTGTATTTATGATACAGATGGTATTTTGAGATGTTGATGAAAGATGGTACATATGCAGGGAAGAATTGGATATTACTTTAGAAAAGAAAGGATGAGTGTTCATTTTGTTTACTTCTATCTTTTGGTCACTTACCTCACCTAGATCATTCCAATCAGATAGGAGTACTTTCTGGTTTTGTACCCCTCCAAGAATGGAAGCTTCTTTCAACCCCTAGGACCAAACTTGGAGCTAATTTCTTGGATCTAATAAGGTGAAAGTGATGATGGTGATGATGATGATGATGGTGATGATGATAATGACAATGATAAAACAAGCTGCCATCTGCCATGTACCATTAAGTATCTAGCACTACAATAGTTATTTTACTTCTAGATGTAATCTCATTAACTCTGTATAAAAGTGCAGCAGCCCTATTTTTCAGATAAACCAAAGACCAGGAAGTTTAAAAATTTTGTCAAAATCAATAGAGGCAGGATGTAATAAAGCCACATTTCAGGTTATTTAATTCTAAATACCCTGCTTCTTCTTTCATAACACTCTGCCGTATTGTAATCTTTGATGCCCTTGGATCTCCAAGACTCTTTTGTTTGTGGTCTAGAAGACTCAGGTTCTATTCTACAAGGGAAATTAACAAAAAGTAATTGGTTTTGTGGTCATAATACACCCTCATGTACCTTTGCTATTTGTCTTGCCAGAAAGCAATTTTCACATTTTATCTAATTCACTGTGACATCCCATGGCACTAAAGAATTGCCAGTACAGTTTTGTAGATGGAAAAATCTAAGCTTACAAGAAAGGGCAAATTCCATCTCACAATCTCAAGGAAGGCCAAGAGCTAGGACATCTACCCAGTGTTCTTCCCCCACAGCACCTATTAATTGGGGACTCATAGGAAGAAGAAACTGCTGGAAACCCCTTCCTAAGAGTACCTCTATTAATGTCAAGGTTCTTCATGGTACAAATGCCAAGGCCTTGTAAGCGCCTGTAGGTTACCTGCTTACCAAACCCAGAATATTTTAAATCTCAACAATTTGACTTTCTTTCAAAAAGCAGTATGTGCAATCAATAAGACTAGCTCACGTGGGTGGAGCAGGGCATAGATACTCTTGTATTAAGAGTTCTGTGATAATACACAGGGTATTCGCACTTCCCTGAATTAAACAATGTAAAAGAAGCAGAGAAAAAGGAAAGGAGGGGACTATATGGGATGACAGAGCAGAGAGAAGAGAGTAGAGAAGATGGGAAGGATCTACAAGAATAAAAGATAAAGGAGAGAAAACATTGAAAAGAAATATAAGAAAGGCAAAAAGTTTATAGAATATACAGTTAAATGGGTCTTCAAAACCATCCAGGCCAACCTCAGAAAGGAAAACTAAGGCCTGATGATGGAAGTGATTTGAACAAAGGTAGCAAGTAAGGAGGGTTATTACAATAACAAAAGACACAAGAAACAAAAGAAACATCTAAAAATTGGAAAGGTGAAGAAGAAGTCCAGGTCCTAGGCAGGAGACAAAAAAATAAAAAAATTAAAAAAATAAGAGAAAAGCCACCATGAGAGGATTGAGCAGGATAACAGGGGCTAGTGAAGGGGAAGCCAGGAGTACAAAGCCAAGGAGAGAGGAGAGGAGAGTGAAGACTGACACTCACCCTCACAAAGCTGGCAGGAAACCATCCCTCCTCATCGTCGATCTGGCCCCACCACCAATCCTTGTTGGAAGCATCCAAGACTTTGATGACGTCGCCAGCCTTAAATGCCAACTCCCGGTTGGCCATGGTGACGTGATCCCATACTGCCTCAGCACTAACGATGGAAACTCCAGTGATCAGCTTAGGAGACAAAATAAGAACGTGTTCAGTCCACACAGCTGGCTACCTTTCTTTTTCCTTCCCCCACCCACAGAGCTCCACTACTTAGGGAAAATCTTATACATGTTAGTGGTAGGGGTTAAGGTAAGGATAGTGACACTAGAGTACAAGCTCTGTTGGATCACATGATAACGCGGTCACCTCTCCATCAGCCCATGCATAGAATGATCCAACATGTGGATATAGATTATATATGTGTTATGATCTCCCCTATAGAAAAAAGCTCTAGTTCATCTCTCTTTGGTGCTTCAAGGCAGCTCTGAGTCTGGAATCATCCCAGCATGAAATCAACAGTTAAAATGAGATTCACACATATTAGCTGTCAATCATCTGTGCTCTTTACCATTTCCATCTTCTTGTAACTGACCAATTGAGAGTTGATGGTATCCCACTGCACCCCTCTCCCTGGAGTAACAGACCATGACACTCCTGACATAAAAAAGACCCCAGTGCTATAGCCTCTCACCATCACTCACACATGATACCACCCAGAAAGTTCATGGGTATGAAAAAGTATGATTTTCTGTGATTCTCCAGGCCCAAGAAACTCAACCTTGGCACAGACTAATCCAGTGCTCTGTACAATGACACAAGGGGTTTAAGTTGGCTTCTTCATTTGATAGATGTCAAAACTGGGCAGCAAAGATGAACTAAGATTGAGAGGTGAGCTAAGGATCACCCAGGAAGGCAAGGGCTGTATACGCACCCTAACCCAGATCATTAAACTTCATGGAGAGCAAGATCATTCTGCAAAGAACGGCATAAAACATCTATCCTCCCACCACATAAACAAACACACATACTCATGATACTCATCTAAGCACAGTGATAAGGATGGGGGTTAGGAGTAATCTGGCTCTCTCTGGCTACCATCCTGACCACTGTTCCTTGTTCACTTTTTCCACTCAACTGTTCCAGCCTGGGATCACTAGTCGTACCACTATCTGGGAAAATACATTCTAGAATAGAGAACATGCAGCCTGTCAGGTGCAGAGACTTAAGCACTCTCTCCCCAACCCTAAATTCCGGAATATGTTCTTTAACTTTAAGCTTCAAGCTTTTCCATCAGTCTGCTTTGAGGAAGGACTGATTCCCCGAAGCAATCGTGGAATCCTAAGGTTGAAGGCAAAACAGTCTAAAGACAACACACATTATACAGGAATATGTATCCCCTCCCATGGGTGTTCCCTAGATCATACTCGTTCACTCATTCATGGGATGAATGCACAGCATCACACAGATACGAACACATATATAATTATAACATTTTGACTTAAAGTATACTTTTCATTAGGTCCTAATTAAACACAATTCATTGTTCAGGATTCCAGCCTTGCTGTCTCTTACAGAAAATAAAGCATGAATTAATCTCCTCAATATGGATACAAGATCTACAGCAAAATTTTTTATAATATCACACTTCAAGTACTTTGTGCTTTCCTGTTTGAAAAGGATTTTCACATCTCATCTAATACCTAACTTGATCTTTACTGAATGATTTGAGTGTCACTATTACTTATTCACTATTTTAAAGTTGAAAAAATATGCTCAGAGATGTGAGCCAATAACATAAAGAATAAATTTTGCGACCAAGTCTCTTAACTTCATATACTTTTAATGCATCTTTTCTTTATTCCTCATTAGCATTGGTTTATAGTATGTAATGCTTATTTTCCTTGTGAAAAATTGATACATGTAAAAAACACATCTTAATGCTTTTTTGTACCCTTTCCCTTCTCTCCTTCCCCTCTCCATCCACTTTCTTTTTGGGGGAAATGTGGGAAATACGTAATGTACATATTTGTTGTCTTGAGTTGGTACACGTATATAGCACATCTTGATTCTTCATCTTTCCTGCCCTCCTCTGCCACCACTCCCTCCATCTCTTGATCCCCTTTCCCTTTGAGATCTTCTTTGAAAAAGAACTATTTTTTGTTTTCTTTTATTTTTTTCATACATTATTTCATCTATCAAAATGTACTACCAATGGAACTATGGGATGATAGCAGAGTGGTAAGTAGCAATAAATCAGCCTCTCCAAATTTGTAACACTAACACTGGAAAATAACAAAGTGGGAAAGAAAAGGAGGGAAGTAGAACCCTGGGACACAGGAAGGACACTGAGGGGAAAATTAGAGCCTACAAAGAAATTGAAGAATTAGGCCACCATGCAGAAAAAGGAAAGGGAAATCTACACTTTCTCCCCAGCCCATGGCTTGTGGTGAGAGAAAGGAAGATAGAATCTATAGACAGGCAGTGAAAATGGGTGACTCCAGAAGCCCTCAGACAGAAATGCTCCAGTGGAGCACAGCAGTGGATGCCATGAACTATAACAGCTAGTGAGTGACTCTAGCCCAAGCTTTTGTGATACCCCTGGAGAAGGTGCCTGGTTAGATGCCATGTTGGGTCAGATTCAACTGAACCTAGGTCCCAGGGTAGCCACAGGTTGGCTTCATCTCAGGACTCCCAAAGTTAGACTCCTCCCGTGACTGAGTGAGGGAGATCTACGGAGATTTCCATCGTGAAGGAGGCATGGTTAGGCCAGCAAGAAACACCAAAAATGTTATAAGCTAAAGAACTAAGCCCTATCCCCACAACCAGAGGCCATGTTCAGCCTGAATTTATGAGGAGTTGAAAGTTCCAAACTAGAACAATTTCCTAACCCTACTGCCAGCTTACAGGATTATCCAGCAATAATTTAGGCTCTGACTGGCCCCCTAATCTATAAGAAAAAGCAGAATCATGCCTTGAATTGGATACTACAGAAAACTATACACCTCAGAAGACAACCACAGAATTGAAATTATAGAGAAATTTCTCTCTTTTTTTCTTTCTTTGCTATTGTTCTTTTTGTTGTCCTTCATTGTTTTATTTCTTTGGGATTTTTGTGAGTGTGAAATTGCTTTCAAGGGGTGTATCATTTTATTTTCTCCTTGCTTTGATTTTCTCCTTCTTTCATTCCCTCCTGTCTTCTTCAGTAGCTTCCTGAGGTTTGAGTAATGTTTCTTTGTCCTTCAGCCTTACTTCTAATCTCTTTTTCTTCATTCATTTCTCTATTTTTTTCTTCTCCCTTTTATATTTTCTCCCCTTAAGATAAAATTGTTTGTTTGAGTGAACATTTACTGTATATAATTTTCTCATTGGTCTTAGAGTTTGCTCTATAACTATAAACATTATATCTAATATGGCAAATTATTAGTCATCACAGTTTGTCATTTCTCAGCTTCCACTTGATACTACTGTTATTACAGATTGTAATACTTCAGCTAATGTGACATAGTTATCATCAATTGGTCTTAATTTTATGCTGAAACTCAGATTGTCTATGGCATCATAAACAATATTACATGTGTACTAGGCTGCAACCAATCAGGCTGCAACTTTTCATCCTTAATAAATACAAGAGGCAAGATCCTGGGCTACAATCAAAGGCCAAAAGCCAGCTATAGCTAGAAGACATCTCTGAAAAGTAGTCATTTCCTTAGTAAAATAAGTACCTATAATAAGCAAGTTATAAACCTCAAGGCAGAAAAAAATGAACAAAAAATTAAAAAGGTAAAAAATAGAAGCAAGATAGAAAACAGCACCCACAACTTTCCTAAAGAAAATCCAGGTGATACTGAGGTGAAACAAACCAAAAGCCTCCAAGCTAACCTTTCTGAAATGGTATTAGCAAAGTAACAAAATGCATGAATAACTCTCTTGACAAAACCAAAACAGAAACAATTGCATGAATAATTAAAGTGATGACGACCATAATGAAAGTAATGATAGGAGAAACTAGAATAGATGCACGTAAAAAAAAAAAATAGAAGAGCTTATGAAAGACAGGGAAACAATGAATGCCCAACAAAGGAAAGAAATGTATGCTACAAAACAGATTAAAATAGATATACAAGACATTCAAAATTCTATTGAAAGTATGCATGCAGAATCAACCAATGTGAAGACACAGTACCAATCCTAGAAGACAAACTTGTGGTTGGAGATGATCAGATGAAAGACTTCTTAAAAATAGCAAAAAAAACCATGAAAAATCAATCCAACACCTGCTAAATGATGGAAAGAGTAAGATTAATTGAAATCAATAAAAAATCAGGAGATAGAACAAAAGACATAAAAAACTTGTTTACAGAAGTAATTTCAGAAATTCTTACTGGATGGAAAAAGAGTAAAGAGAGGAATCTAGAACCGCAAATACTCATGATAAGGAAAAACATATGTCAAGGCATATAGCAGTCCAGAGTTCAGAAATTCAACAGAAGGACAAAATATTAAAAACAATTAGAAAAAAAGAAACAAAATGCCTATAAAGAGAAACCCAGCAGAATCACACTGGACTTCTCAACACAAACACTCAAGTGAAGAAGAGCTTGGAGTGAAATATTTCAAGCTCTAAATGAAAACAACCTCCAACCAATAATGATATACCGCACAAAGATATCATTCAATAATCAACCAATTCAGCAGTGTGGCTGGATACAAAGTCAACACCCGAAACTCAATAGCATTCCTATACACAAACAACAAACAGACTGAGAGAGAAATTAAGGAAACCATACCTTTCACAATAACATTCAAGAAATTGAAATATTTAGGAATCAATCTAACAAAAGAAGCAAAAGAGCTATTCAATGAAAACTACAGTACTCTGAAAAAAGA